TATTTTATTTTATTTTATTTTATTTTTTACCAGTTTTATATACAAGTAACATGTTAGGATCAGGGAGTTCTAATATGTTGGAATCATGGAATTTTCTTAAAATGGTAAGACTTTTAAAAAAGTTCTACTACTTCATTTGATTCATAAGGTGTCGGAAGCATAAGATCTGCATAATCGATTTCCAGGGCCTAGGAGGAAAGGGAGTGTTGGATTATGTGCAAACTGTTCACTCTTGGCTCTTGCTTGCTCTGCTTCAGCCACAGAACTATTTCACACATCTACACCTGAACTTGTAAATGTAACCATTCTACCTCCAGGAGACAACATAATAAATGTAATGTCCTTGTAGTCTTCCAAGGATTAGAAAACTAGCTATACTAAAGGAAATACAAATTACATCCCACACCTTAATCTTTAACTGTAACTGAAAGAAGTCCATGTCAGAAACTTGGCTTTCCCTATAATTTCCAAGAAAATTGTCACCATCCACAACAAAGAGAAAATGACAATAAATCTATAAAGAAGATGACAGATTCTAAGGAATCAGACCTTTCAAACTCAATTATTCTATGAATCAAGATTAGTAATAACCAAAGATAAAGAAACCTCCTTAAACTCACTTCAGTCTCAACTCTGATTTTCATATGGCTAAATGGATCAGACAAGGTTATGCCTCATGAACTCATTAGTCAAGAGAGCAAGGAAGATTAAATTACACTGATATATCAGTGGAGTGGGACATGGTATATTAAGTACCAGAATATGTATTTTAAAATTGGGAAAAGAGTATGTCAGGAATATTTAAATAAAAGCCTAAACTTAGGCTTCAAAATTATTCATTACCTATTAACTATTAGAAGATATATATTTAATAGTTGGAATTCAAGTTCCAGCTTTTGATCCAAAGCCAAATATATATATATATATACATACATACATAAATACATAAATAAATGAATGAATGAAACAAACATCTCATTCCTGTCCATGGAAATGGAAAGGTTTGGCATTATATAACATCTAAGGCAGCTGAGTATAGAGGCCCACCCTTGTACTCCTGGCACTCAGTAGGCTGAGGCAGGAGGATTGCCATGTATTCAACAGTAATCTAGGCTACAGAATGAATGAAACCTTGTCTTAAAACAAAATAGCAAAAAAATACAAAAGCAAGTCCTTTTTCAAGGTGGGGCAGTGGAACTCATAGGGACAGTTTTTCTGATTTCTTGAGAAACTGTGGTTCCACCTTTATTAAGACTTATTATTCCTAAAGTTAGGAATTAGACTATAGTTCAGTGGTAGAGTGCTTGCCTAGTATGCACGCAGACCTAGATGCAAAGAAAGATAAATTGACAACAGGGTTTTGAAAGACCCAAGAAAGTTCTCACAAAAGCAGAGTGGCTCTTCTGCCTGTTCTAAAGAGTAAGAAGAGTATGTATCTGAAAAGACCATCCTCTTCCACAGAGCCCAACTCTTGAGATTCAGTAAGATATGCCAACCCAGCCCTAACAAGAGACAAATTTGATATGCCTCTCAAGTGAAATTATTTTGAACTGGTAGGCTTATGTAATAAACCGAATTTCAGTGATCTGCAAAGATAGAAATAGATTGGAGAAATGAAACACCCACCAAAGTTAAGCAACTCCCCACCAGGAAGAGAAAACTTGGCTTCTTTATGATTTGCCTAGATGAACCTAGGATTAAAAGCCACTGGACGCTGGTCTCAAGCCATGGTGATGCAAGGAAAAGGGTTTTTGGATGAGGCGTCTCTTCTACCAGAGCTGCCTCCGATTCAGTCTGGTAAATTCTTAAGAAATAAAAATGGGACCTAGATCAAGAGGAAGAGGAAGACACAAGAATGAACAACAACAACAACAACAAAACAAAACAAAACAAAACAAAACAAAACAAAACAAAACAAAACAAAACAAAACAAAACCAAGAAGATGTGAGGGAGAGCCAGGCATTGGCGTCAGGAGGGTTTCTTGCTCCCGCACACTGGATGAACGCACACATTCCTGAAATCCCATACTTTTTCGGCCCTGAACCCTGGACCCCAATGGACTTTGGCCTTGAGAGAACTTGCTGTCCTTTTATTACTGTTTCTTACTGTTTGCAGAGTGTATTTTTTTCAGACCTTTTGTAAAAAGGAAGTTCTAGGACAGGAGAAAACATGGTTTTCGAGATTCCTAAGGGTAGTGAGCTGCAGAACAAACAGCAGGTAGGTCGCCAACCTTCACTCTTGCCTGCAGCCTGCATTGAGCAGTCACAGAACATGAAGAGGAAGAAAAAGAGTCTGCATAGGCCACCCTACTCAAACACCGGAGCCAGCTGCCAGCAGGCATCCATTTTAGATCTTTCAGAACTCTAACTGCACAGTAGAAATTGGCCTTCCAAATTTCAGTTTAGTCCAAAGGAATTAGAAAAAGGCAGCAAAAATGATCATATTAATATTGCAAATCTTAAAAGGTATTTAGGATGATTGCCCTTCAATTTAAGGCAGGTTACCAACGTGGGACCAAATTAACAATGAGTTACCATGTAAATATTTTTAAAGGTTTATTAGATTAGTTGAAATGAATAAATTCATTTTAAAATGTCATCACACAAGGACAAGTTACAGATCTTGCCTAAGGCTCCCAAGATAATGAGACCCATTTCACAAGTAACATTTATAAAAACAAGCAATTGTAACTTTTAAACCAAGACACACTTAGCAAATATTGCCTACCTTTATTTGTTAAAAATTTGACAGCAAGACTGCCACAAACTTGTATATGTTAGGAGAGGCAGTAAATGAGTTGTCAAAACAAGAGCAGCAATTGTAGGGATCTGAGTTTTTCTTCCACTGTTTCTAGTAGTAAGTGAAACATCTTACTCCTTTTGTAATAAAATAAATTTCTTTTC